TTCATTGGAAGGACTGATGCTGAAGCTGAAACTCCAATACTTTGGCCACCTGATGTGAAGAGCTGACTCATTGGAAAAGACCCTGATGCTGGGAAGGATTGAGGGCAATAGGAGAAGGGGATGACAGAGGATGAGATGGTTGGATGGCATCACCAACTCGATGGACAAGAGCTTGAGTAAGCTCTGGGAATTGGTGATGGACAGGGAGGCCTGGCGTGCTGCAGCCCATGGGGTCGCAAAGTGTTGGACACAACTGAGCGATTGAACTGACTGACTGACTGAGGCAGTAAGTACAGTGACTGACCCAACACAGGAAAGAAAGCACTCACCTTTTCTAATCTGATTATGTTAGCTGTAAGCTCTTGGCACAAGGCCTCCACATTTAACTGTACTTGTGACCCCAGGCCAGATGGTGCTGTCTGTCTGTAAGAACCAAGAGAAAAATTACTGTGGGCAGGAATGGCAAAGAAACAAGTGGAATGAACACATTTTAAATTTATTGGAACAGAAAACTAGGTTATAATAGAAGACAGTGTGCATTTAACCTACTAACATCAGAAAGGCCCTGCAGTAATCCACAACTCCAGACTAGATGTTTAGGGGACTAATTCTACAAAGATAAGCTGGAAATCTCTTATTTTTGTCTAAGTGGCTGTGTTGTACCTTGGCTTCCAAACAAGAATCAATTATTCTCAAGTGTGTGGTTTCTTAGACTCCTTTTATTAACCGCTGATACCTTCTCTCTGTCCATGATGGCATGCATTTTTAAGGAGTATTGCTTTTCTCAGTCATATTTGTACTGTTTATGGGAGAAGCAATCATTTACACTAGAACTTTCATAATGTTTGGGCTTCCCTGGTGGTTCAAATGGTAGAGAATCTGCCTGCAGTGCAAGAGACCCAGGTTCGATCCCTGGGTCGGGAAGATCCCCTGGAGAAGGGAATGGCAACCCACTCCAGTGTTTTTGCCTGAAGCATTCCATGGACAGAGAAGCCTGTCTTTAATCAAATTTCTGCTGATGTATGTGACTTCTGTATTTTCTTCCTTGAGACCTGCCATATAAATGTAATTGCCCTTGTCTAGTAATATAATTGATATATTCACCATTAACCACTCAAGTGTTAAAGGTCATGGGCTTTTACTCTGGGGTCCACTGGGGTCCTATACCAGCTAAAAATGTGGGACATTCAGAGATATGTATACATTTTCCTGAAGAGCTGCTCAAAAACTATTGATCAGATTTTCATGTTAAGGTCAAGCACCATGGTTTGTATCTCCTCTGTTTCTTGGTT